CCCCCCAAGGGGGAAACAGCCCCGTGGGGCCCCTCCCCCAGGGGGGACTGCCCCGTGGGGACCCCTCCCCAAGGAGGAACAGCCCCGTGGGGACCCCTCCCCAAGTGGGAACAGCCCCATGGGGACCCCTCCCCAAGTGGGAACAGCCCCATGGGGACCCCTCCCCAAGGGGGGGGGACTGCCCGGACAGGGACCTTCCACCAAAAAAAAGGACCTTCCACCCAAAAAGGGACCCCCTCCCCCTCCAAATAGGGGCTTCTCCCCAAAGGGGGGACCCCTCTGAAGGAGAGCTCTTCCAGGGACATGGATATCCCCAGATGGGCACCTCCTGCCAGCCTTCCCAAGGGGCACTTGCTTGGACCTGGGAGGATCTTCAAGGTCCTTTCCGACCAGGATGATGCTGCTGTGAGGCTGGGACCTCATTTCATCTCCCCAAGGGGGACACCCTTGGCTTCCTCTCTCCCAAGGGGAGGTTTTCTGAGGGCAAGAACCTCTCTCTGTCCACCCCTCCCATTCAGATCTCTCCAAATGGGGAACCTCCTCCAAAAGGGATCTCCCTCCTGCCCCTCCAAATGGGACCCCCTGGCCTCTCTCAAGGGGTCACCTCTGAATTAAAGGAGTTCATTCCATCTCTTCAAGGGAACCCTCTCCAAAGGGGTTCTTCTTTCCAAGAGAGTCCTGTATCCACCTCTCCAAGGAGATCCTCTGCAAACTGGGAATGCTCTCCCACCTCTTCATATAGGGGACCCCCCTCCAAAGAGACCTCTTTGACCTCTTGAAAAGGGACACTTCCACATGGGGAGATCCCTTCTGCCTCTCCAAGAAAGGACCTTCCCAGGTGGGGAACCCTACATTAAAGGGAACCCCTTAGAGAGCTCCTCTCCACCCTGGCCCTCCCTCTGTCCCTCACCTCCAGGCTTCCTGATCTCCAAGTGCTGCTTCCCTGCCTCCAAAGCCAAGGCTGGCAAAGCCAAGAGAGTCAGGACCATCTTCACCAGTGACCAGCTGGAGAAGGAGTTTGCAAGGCAGCAGTACCTGGTGGGCACGGAGAGGTGCCTGCTGGCCTCCTCCCTGCACCTCACTGAAGGGCAGGTAAGTCCCACCATCTCCACCTGCTCCCATCAGCAGGTCCAGGGAGGCCCCCAAACCCGTGTGCCAGTGGGGTGGGACCTGGGCTGTGTCCCCCAGCCTGGGGCAGGAGCTCTGTGGGGCAGGGATTAGGGATCCTTCACCCTGAAAGGGTGGAGGGTCACAGGTGGGGAAACTGAGTCACCAAGTGTTGCTCAAGGTGGAAGGGTTGAACTTGTGGGCATCTTAAGACCAGACCTTCTCCACCACGGGCTCCTGGGTTGCAGGGGATGGTTTTCCATCTCACTGGGGACAGATCATGGCAGGGAACCTGTCCTGGCCATCCAGGGGATGTCTGAGGTGGGCACCTAAGAGTTTGTGGAGGGTCTGGGCATTGCCTGAGCCACAGGGGTTTAGCAGATGATGAGTCCATGGAGAAGCTGGGTTTGAAAGCCAAGATTTCCCTCTTCCTCAGGTGAAGGTCTGGTTCCAAAACTGGAGGATCAAGTGGAGGAAACAAAGCCTGGAACAGCAACAAGCCAAACTGGCCAAAATGGGTTTGGCCACCCAGCAGAGGAGTCCTGATTCACAGAGTCACCACGGCCAGGAGGAGGACAAGGACTTCCCAGCAGAGCTGGAGGGTGGCCAGGAGGACACAGCCTTGGGGACAGCACCTGCACAGACAGTGACAAAGAGCTGCTGAGTCCCCCCTTTTCCATGTGTGTCATAGGACTGTATCACAGCTGGCAAGGAGCACATCTAATATATCCAGGGCACCAAGACATTTTGCAGTGCCCAAATAAATTATTCATGCAGTTCTCGGGCTCATCTTTGCACGAGGAGGAGGAGGAGGAACAACAACCCATGGTTGCAGTGGCAGCAAGTGTTCAAGTTGTGCCTGGGAGAAAACCCTGCAGGTCTGGGGGGAATTGGGGCCACCTGCAGACCCCACCCAATGTCAGCCCCATAGTCAGGCTCATCCCAAGGGTGCTCAGATACCTCCTTGTGCTCCAAAACAGCTCAGGACCTTCAGAGAGCCCAGATCCATGCAGAGGATCTGCATCTCATGGCCCATCCTTCTCCATCTTCCTGCCAGCAGCATCTTCCCTAGAAAGCCCTGCTCTGCCCACAGGGCACACATCCTGACCCAGTGGTGCCACCCTGCTCTCTTGGAGCAAGGAAAGTCAGGCAAACCAGGGAAAATGTGCCTGGAGAGCAGAGCTGGTGGTGGCTTTGGGAGCTGGGCAGCCAGGGGGGCATCTGGGCTGGGCAAAGATTAGCAGGGTTTTAATTGCTTGGCCCTGCTTAGGCTGGTGGTGAAGCTTCAAATCCAGCAGGTTTGGGCTGGGAATGAGCTCCATGGGGAGCTCCCTGCAAGGATGCCAAGCACTGAGCACCAACAGCCCTGGACCTCCTGGGTAAGAGCAGCAATGGGGACCTCCAGGTTCTCACCTGGGCAGCACCAGCTCCTGCTGACCCTGTTTTCTCCTTGTCTGCTCTGGGCTTGGGACCCTGGTGGAGAGTTTATTGGGATGGATGTGAAACCTGGTGCAAGGAGAGGGGATGGTGCAAGGAGAAGGGGGAGAGTTAAGGAGGGGATGGTGCAAGGAGAGGGAACAGTGGCAGGAGAAGGAGAGGATGTCAGGAGAGGGAGTGACACCAGGAGGAGGTGATGGTGCAGGGAGAGGGGGAATTCTGCCAGGGGAGGAGGATGGTGCAGGGAGAGGGGGACAATATAAGGAGGATGATGCAAGGAGAAGGCCCTGGTGGCAGGAGCAGGGGACAGTGTGACTGAGGGAAGCTGCCCTTTGTTCCAGCTGTTCTCAGAGCTGGGATTAGCCAGCGGGTCTCAAAGGGCCCAAACTGTGCTGGTGTCTTCCTCTGTCTGGGAGAGCCCGGGCTGTGCTAATCTGGCCCGTGGGTTTATTGCAATCAGGGCTTACAGGGGATGTTTTAATATCTCCCAGCTGGGGGCCTGAGCTGATTGCCAGAGTTCAGTTGTTCTCAGGACACCTTTAATCCCCTGGGAGCTGGCAGTCCTTGGCCCCAGGCAGGATTGAGCCTTTTCCATGGTGCTGGGCTCCTCCAGGGCAGGCAGCAGGGGCCCTGGCCCCATGGCAGGGGATGCTTCTGCAGGGCCTGCCCAGCTCCAACCCCTCTGTGGGCAATGATTGTCATTAAAACTGCTGGGCTTGATGGAGTTTTTCAAAAGGTGGGTTTTATATCAGCTGAGTTAAACCTCTGGCACCTTGGGTGATGATCAGGAGGGTGTTCTCATGCTGGGTGATAATCCTTGAGGGGGTGGCTGGTCCCTGGGGCTCAGGGTGCCTGTGTTCCCTTTCCTACCTGCCTGGGGACAGCCTGGGAAGGCCAACCCTGTCTTCTCCCCACCCTGTGATTAACCTGTTTGCTGGTTCCTTGGGGTGAGGAGAGGAATGGATCTGCAGGACAAAGCAGCTGGTCACTGCTCCAGTGGGGATGAGTGGAGCCAAACATCCAGGTCTGACCCTGGAAATGGGATGGAGCTGATGATCTGTGGAAAAGCCACTTCCAGCTGGGTCATTTTATGCCCTGCCAAGGCCCTGGCATATCAGAAAGGGGTAGGAATGTAGTTTCCTTCTCCCATCAGAGACATCTCCCTCCCCAGCCCAGACAGGAGGTCTCGCAGCTCAGCCTGGCAGCTTGACTGGGCCACGTGGATTGGGACCAAACCTGGGCACAGCAATTTGGCACCATGGAAAATAAGGGAGAGTGATACCCTTGAGAGCTTCATGAGGTCCTGGGTTGAACCAACCCACCTGGGGCAGAGCCTTGGCCCCACTTGTCCCCTAGGAAAGAAGAGCTATGTGTCCTTACCCAAACCCCACAAGCATCCCCAAAATGCCACTAATCCCCTGTATCACCCTTAAAGATACAATTTTTTTTCACCTGTCTGCAAGAAAAAAAACACCCCACCCAAACCTGAGTTGGCTTTCAGTGACAGATAATCATTAGGAAGTGAGAATGGGGCAGCCTGATGAAGAGGATCAGGGTTATCTGCTCAAGATGCAGAGCTGAGCCCTCCCCAGCAAACCTCTGGAGATAAATGGGAGGACAGGTGGGTGGGTGGGGGTCTCAGGGGGGCCTGTTTGCCCAGAGGAACAGCCTGGTCTGCATGTGGATCAGCCTGGATGGGGGTGAATGCAGGGGAAGAGGTGCAAATGGGTGGCTGGGTAAATGGGATGGGAGATGGGATGGAGAGATAGCAGGAGGGATAGCCCGGGTGGAGCTGTGCACTCTGCATCCCCCCCCTCCCCGGGGGATGATTCCTGCCGGGATGATTC